CCCAGATTTTCTTTATTAGCATTCACATGAAATTACACCTCCGCCCACTCTATTTCCATTCTAAAGTAAGCAAAGTTCCATTACTTTACAAAAGAATTAATCAATAAAAAAGCACATGTTACTTGATGCCATTTAAAAGGTCTACCTAAAAGCTACATCAAAGGGAAGAAAAAGTTAAAAATAATCAAAGAAAATTTATAAAGGTGCTCTCCAAAAAAAGTTTAGTATTTATAAACTTAAAAAACTCAGAATTCTCTACAGAATTTAGTTTCCATATACCACCAGTACTCTAAGGTAGGAGAAGGGAGGAGAGGAGAGATGGGTGTCTAAACCACTGAATATTTCCTTGCCAAAAATAAATAAATAAAAAGGCATCTATTTATTTTATTTTTTTTTTCCTAGGCACTGAAGAGGACTTAAGATACAAAACCCTGATTTGCTGGGGTGTGCAACCCAACTTACTTTGGCTATTTCTTACTTAACTTCTTTTTTGTATACAGCTTAAACTCTCCACACTAGGTCATTCAAGTCTTGAGTCACCAGAAAAAAGAAGTCGCTGTTTAAAGTATGGCAGACAACCAAAAGTTCAGACAGCTGCAATGAAGGATTAGTTGTGGGTTTTTCTCACTGCCTTGCTACAAACTGCATCACAGCTCTATGTTCAAACATTATTAAATGGGAATGTTTTCTCTGGCACCAACTACTTCTCCCCACAGTTTAAGTATTGAATTTTTTTAACTGAAGTAGCTTTGGTTTACAGCTCACATTAGAACTTAAAAACATATTTCCATAGTAGCTGGCATATGCAGGCAACTGTTTATTCTCAGTACCAGCCATAATAAACACTTGTACTTTTATAATCCAACAAATCTTTGTCTAATCACAGCTCAGTCTTCAGAGCTGTAAAATTTGCATGTCATTTAAACCATTTTTAATGAAGACTCTCTACAAAATGATAGATTTTCTAAGTCTGCCTTCACAATCAATACCAACCATAATTAACTGTAATGAATGCAGAAATATACAGTGGGTATTAACTGCGACAATATATTAAGAAGCTTTGTAAAACACGACATGCTATATCATTTTAAGAGAAATAGATTGTCTCGAAGAGATACACGTTTAATTCTATCTAGAAGTTATTCTGGCAAGTATGAAAAAATGACACCTCCTTGGTCAGACAGGCTTTCCACTTGAATTCAGAACAGCATCCGACCAACTTTTAAGTTTATATTTTAGCATTCCAAAGCAGTAAAGCTCTGGAAAAAAGAGCAATTTAAATTCTCTTTTGGCTCATGCATTGTCAACAGGATTAACTAATAATCATTACTGTGAATGAAGGAACCCAGCATGACATTTGAATTCCTGTTGAATTTGCCAGAATTGATCATTCTAAAAGTATTTGTTATTCAAAGCTGATTTTATTGGATATTGGAATCACTGAGACACAGTAAGTATGGAGTCTGTGATGCTATTTTATGAGAAAAGAATTAAACTAAACTTTGAGTAGAACAAAGCACTGCTATCCTTCTTCCCTTTTCAACTGAATACTGATATTCATGAGGATGAAAAAGCAAAAGACATTACTATGTGAAGCATTACTACCAGTAAGAGCAGGTATTACTTTGAAAAAGATCACATACTCTGCACAGTCTGTCAAATACACACATTTCCAACCTGTAATTCTCTTTCCTTGCCCAAGCTTTCGTTCTTACTTAAGAAAGATTCCCCTAACAGCCAGCAGTCTTGTTTTTCACATGACCAAATATCCATTTGGAACCAGACTGACTACGCCAGCATTTGTGACTCAGTTTAATCTTAAGCTTTCAAGAAATTTCCCATCCTGCAGGACTCCATCCAACGAAAGATCAAATACAGGACTCAAATTGTGTAGGGACCTTGTGCTAGCCATCTGCCAGAAGATGAACTTCACGCAGCGTTCACCTACAAATGCTCATTGAATTATTATTTGTTGCTCAGTGCATGGCAGAGCTATTGCAAACTCACTCGTAGGCAGCAGAGGAGGAGCAGAGAGGTCAACAGCAGCTATCCAAATAGCCAGCTTTGTTGTTAGAAATGTGAGCAGTAATTGAAAAGCATAATTGCGCAGCTCCACAACAGGCAATACTGCCAATGAAGTCGATATGAATTTCACTTCCAGGGTCAGCCTAGAGTCAGCAGACACATAGTACCAATGCTGCGTTCGAGTCAGTCACACAAACATGGTGGCTTCAACAAAATGATGCTTCCCTGAGTGTTGGGGACATACTACAAGCCTTGTCAAAAAAAGAAATGGAGATGAAATCTAAACATCCTATCCGGTTAGGCAGAACCTGCTACTGTTAAGGTAGACAATTCACAACTGCAGGAATTTGGGGTCACAGAGGGAGGCAATAACCATATTCCTTCAGCCTCCCAAGAAGAGCTGGCACTATCAGAGAAAAGGAAGAAAAGACAATAATTTACTGCAGCCACATGTAAGTGTTGGCATATAACAATGGCTGCAGCAAAAAAAAAAAAATCAGTTAAAAGAACCTGAGAATGCTGAAAAAAGCCACAATAAATACTAAAGAACTGGAAGAGGAGCTATTTCCCATTAGAAAAGAACAAGGGTTTGAGAACTACTTGTACTTACTAAGACTGGACTGGCTTGGGACCACATATAGTGGAAATTAAGAAAGCCAGAAAAAATCCACAGACACTTGAACAAAATGAAAAAGGAATCATAGTGCCATTTTAGAAGGCCACAAAGATATCAATTGCCTCCTCAAGTTAAATGGAACAGTAGAGGCTATCAAATTAAATGTACTTAAAAAAAAAAATAAATCACTGGCTAATGGACATCATAGGAAGTCGTGAAATTCCCACCTGAGAATGCACAACGGTAAGAGATTTTAGCTGTAGGACTGAGAGCTGAGGAAACAACTGAACATGAAAAGAAGTCAGCTAAGGAAGCCTTAAAGACAGAATCGCAGGCTTACAAGAAAATTGATAATGCCCAAGAGACTTGCAATGGTTAAATAACTGTTTGATGAAGAGGAAAAATTAGGGTTCGTAGGCCCTAAATGTATCCCTGGTATAACCCCACTAAAGTCAAATGAATCACAAATCAGGTTAACTGTGATGCTCGTTGTCTCCCCAGTAGAATGAAATTATTACAATATTTCACCACATACTATATATTTTAAAAAAGATTATAGCAATCTCTGTTACTGTAAATTAGCATTGGAAAGAAGCGAAGGCAGTTACTTAACTGGAAAGAAATACTTCTGGATGGCATACTAAAAACATTCTGGACCTGATTTTCTGTCGTCTTGCACCCACTGCAGGAGATTCCACTTGCTTTACAAACCGATAAAACCTATTTATAAGCTTTATGCATACACATTATTTCCATACAAGATATATAGTTACAGAAAACATCACGCTCAGTAATCTGAATTATAGGTAACACTCCAAGAGTCTAAGAGTCTTAAAGGCGCTTTGTTTTTGCATTACAGTAGTACCTACAGGCAGCACACAAGTTAGGGCGTCACAGGAAAAAACAGTCAGAAAACAGTCTGTGCTTAGCAGACCCTGTAAGTCAGTTTGGTAAATCATAATGAGAAAAAAAGTAAACTAAAAATATTGTAAAACTAAGGCAATGCAGATGGGAATATCCTCCCCCAGCCAGCTTCATTCCCTTCAGTGGTGGGATTTCTGGATACAAAGGATAGATGAAGATGTATCCAAGATGAAGTTATTTGAGCACATGATTTTAACTTCAATGGTATAGTTCCTGAGGAAAAAATCTGAAGCTGTTCTTCTAAGCAGGTTGGAAAGCACGGAGACAAAAGAAGCTTCCAGAGCAGTAGCCTCTCTCTTGATCACACTCACGTCTTGAACGTGAGAAAACTAGGGATAAAGTAGAGAGGCCACCCCAGCAGAATATTGTAATAGGCATATTTCAGGGTGAAGTAAGTAAATTTATATTTATCATCTGCTTATAAATTTTAAAAGTAAAGTTAAATTCCTAGATAAAATAGCAATAAATGGAGTCCAAATATTATGTAGAACAAAAAGTAAAAAGAAATCTGATACATATTCTGTACGCTGAAGGCATACAGCAAGCCAAATGCTGATCTCATTATCAAAAGTGAAGCTGGGTAGATCTCCTCAAGTTAAAAGGCTCTTGATAGATTCTCAGTTTCAGAATAAAATTTGGCCCACCCATTGACTTCAAATGATTAGTTGTGAGTTTTACTAAAGAAACTAAAAAAAAAAAATCAAACCCGCCAAACATCTTTAACGCACAATTTAACATTTTAAAGTGTTTCATCGTAATCACAGACTGCAGGATACTTTAACTTGATCCTGTGGATTTTTCTTCTTTCTGTCTGTAGCAACTCAAAGGTAGAGCATATGAAAGCTACAGCAGCAGCAGGTCAGCAAGACAGCGCAAGTTCATGTTTTGCCTTTTTAAAACCCTAAAACAGATTTTGTTTTTAGAATTCACTTCTATTCAGCTCAGTTAGGGTTGAGTCAAAAAGGCCCTGAATGCTATGGTCTACCCTTGATGTAAGCAGGATGGAACCACTCGCAGGTCTTGGTCCTTAGAGAGGAAAGACAGGAAAGCAAAGGATGAAACCCTGGATCCTCTGAGGTCAATGGGATTTCTGTTCTTCACTACTCTTGTGCACTCATTCACTGTTCATCTCTAACGCAGTGTCTTTGGGACCCAAAATATTTCTGTATAGGGCCCTGCCCTGTAATCAGTAAAAATGTCAGGAATTGGCATGCAAATATTTTTCATGATTCCACTTCAAATTGCATCAGACTTCACAACTGTACTTATTTTTTGGATGAAAACTATGCAGATATTGTCCCACCAGACTAAAAAAACATACAAACTATTTTCTACAAGAGAGAATAATAAATTTATCAACCATCTTTCTTTTTATAGATTTGCCCCACCTCACACAGGAGCCACAACTCGTTTCCACAGAAAGAATAAGAATTGATAGGAGGGAGAAGGATTCATTTATTGCATCATTTCTAAGTGACCTCAGTTTCACATCATGGAATTTTATTTAGTTTTTAAGAAAGATCAAAACTGCTTACAGAATACTCAGAGGAATTTTTAGAAGATCACTAGTTGTGCTTTGTTAAACATCTTCTTTCAGCTATATAAATGTTCTTACTTGTTACGCTTTATCACTTTATCATAGAAAAAAGTCATATATAAATAATACAATTACATAGCTCAGAAAGTCTAGAGGAACTGTTATATCTTACTCAGTTCATATTCTGACAAAAGTTCTTCAGAATTCAGCTGTACAGCTACAACTGAGTAGAACAGCATTGAAACGAGGAATCTTAGTGTTAGCCCAGAAAATATGAATAGTCTGTTTCGTTGTGTTTGCCTAAGGAAGGAAAGCTCAAGAGGAAAACTCATATGCCCCAATTCTGAAAACGCACAGTGAAAAGCCATGCTCATGAAAGAGTCAGTGCAGCATGGCAGTGATCTTTCAGGAGTGGATCTCGTGACACACGATGGCGCTTAAAGGAGCAGCTTTGAGGTATATCTAACTGGAACTACAGGTGACCAAAAACAATAGTAAGGAGCAATGATGGGTCTTTGTTTTTTTAAAATACTTCATGACGGTTTCACTCATCAGGATTCATTCTTTTCCTCCACTTCTAACAGCTCATCAAGGAATTCCACAACTTCACCCTAGAAGGATTAAAATTAACAGAAATAGGTTAACTCTACTGCAAAATGAATGGAAAAATTTTAACTATTTTAATTAAAACATAAACTGTAGTAAGTTGTCAAACTAACTGGCTTTATGTAACACCCTTCATACAGAAGCTAGTACAACAAGCTTTTAAACTGCAATTAAATGGCCCATACAGAGGTAGCCCACGTACTTGCAAGGACATATAGATCTTTAAAAGAAGAAAATGATATAATTCACAGCAAATCTTACACTTTTTGAGGTATTTACATAGACAATGAAAACATCAAATTTAGAAAGTAGCGGCACAAACGATTAAAAAGCCTGTTAAATTAGGAAATTGTTAGAATATGATAAAGCATTAAAGAACTTCAGAAAGCTTCAAAATTCACAGCAAAAGTGTTTTGTAGAACACTAACTTTGTAACTGTCAGGTAATGACCTCTGTTGCACCCTTCTACCATATACCTCTCTTGTAACCACAAATCTTCGCATGTGACGCTTCAGCGCAGCAAAAATACATAGAAACAGATATAGTAGAATGTTTTCCATACTGGAAACAAATGCTTTGGTTTTAAATTCAAACCAGGAAAATTACAAATATACACGCGTGTCTATGATGTAATTTTATAAGCCCCACCCTGCTAACAAGGGCTACCAACACAGCATAAAAATCCAACTCTCATTATTTAAACTACTCCTGACCTAGTCGTATGTCATATATCATAGTCAAATCTCTTCCTGTAGTCATGCTTGAGAATTTTGGGTTGTTATTGCCCCACCAGCTGGAATTTACTGCCTCTTCAGCCAAGCTACAGTAACTGAGCTGCAACCTTTCATAATGGGTTTCAATCCAAAGTAACACAAGGAGGCTGAGGTGAAAGGGAAGTAGTAACAACTCGAATTATTTAAAATTTAATGTAGCAGCACATCTGCCTGCACCCTCAGAAATATTCATATTTTCCCATTTGCCCTCTGCATACCGTTCAGAAACAACACTGCCTTAGAGAAGAGAGACATTGTTGGAATGCCTCTGCATATTTTCACTTTTTGATGCAACTCAAATACTGAACGCTAAGAGAGGTGTAGAGTGATTGAAGATGCCTAGCTTTAAATTTCCAGCCCCTTATTCTAATAACTACTGTGTTCTGCTAAACTGTTTTAATTTAACTAAGCTTTTTTTCAATTTCCTGTCCATCCTTTTTCCACATAAACTTATGTTCCAGAAAGGTCAAAAGATGTCATTTAGCTTTTCTTCCCAAACAAATCAACACTTTCTGAAAAATATTCTGTTGGAAAATGTGATCAGCTCTTACTCACTCTCAGGTTTAAAATCATCAGAATTTATAACAGTTGCGTTGAAAGCAAACGATCTTTGCTGGGATGCTCCTCTTCCATCTAGGAAGGTATACGTTAGGAAGACTGCATCTTCAAGATATATGCAGTTTGAGACTCAAAATGTTATAAAATGAAAAATAGAGAATTTCTGTTTATTTTGAATACAGCAAGATTAAAAATATTAACATCACATTTTTCAGAAGTGTGATTAGCAAGGAGAGAAACAGGGAGAACCAAGCAAACAAAAATAAAAGTGGGAGGACAGCTGGCTGAAATAATTGCTGCTCTTGTTCTCTGTTTCACCGTTCCATCTTAAAGAACTGTTGAGTTCCTGCTACTGTGAAGTGGTTTTAGCGAGTCCAGAAGGACGGCAACTTATTTTGCTTTGAATTTGTTCAAAACATCTAAGCATCCAATTCAATAAAGTGCAAGAAAAATTGCCAGCACTTTCATATTTCCTGCCTGTCCTCCTGGTTGCAGGAAGTCTGGCAATTGGAAAACAGGAATTCAACATTTCTGCACGTTTTTCTTTGTTAAAAGCATTTTCATTGCCTGAGGAGCCCAATCACGGGAGGAATTCAATACCACTTCAAAAATGCACAGGAAGAAAATATCCACTAGGTCCAATAACCGCTATGTAAGCTCTATGTCATTTTAAAATTACATAGACAGAGCCACAGAGAACTTAAAGTCCAGGGATTCTAGCACAGCTCCTAAATCTGTATGCATAAGCATTTAGGTACCTTTTGAAGGACTACAAATAGGCACAGAGTTCTGACAATGGGAATAAAGATGTCTACTTTAGGGGGTCTCAGATCAAATTCAGACAGATTCGTTTATACCTCAGGATCATATTTTCATAAAGGAGCAACAGATATTAAGAAGGAATTACCTTTTCAGTGTACTTGCAAAGATAACCCTCAAATGGTAAAGGTTTGAGAGGCAGGGTGAAGGGCAGAAACATCGGATAGCATGACCAAGAATGGTATGATGAAGACATGGCCATTTCATTACTGTGCCTTTGATAACTAAATCACATAGGAACTTAAATGACTTTGTATTACTTTCGTGCTCATCAGAAAGGTAGAGTAATCCAAAAGATGATGATCCAAGCAGAGTTCATGTGTTTTCTTCTGATACGTTTTCAAATCCAGAAGCGGGTGAAAAAAAAAACTTAGACTGAAAAGGATGTTTAGAAGTAGCAGTATTTGAAATAAAAATCTGACCGAAATCTCTGGTGTCTGGAGTTGATCTCTAGAGGAGGGTATGACAGAGCTTTCTGGTCTAATGAGAAGTACTGGGGAGTAAGAGAGGTTGAAATGTGGCAAAAATATGAAAATACTTGCTGAAACAATAACTATACAGAAAAAAATGCTGTAATGTAACTGAATAATTGCCGGGGTTTTGATTGCTTTTGAAAAGGTAGAAACACCAGTTTACAGTTAAAAGATACAGAAAACCTACAGTTAAAATGTTTTTGCTGGTGCTTTATCATCAAAATGCAAAACATTTGCATGTTGTTGATATTCTGGTTGGCATCCTAATGAAAAGGTGATAATGCTACGTCAGAAGAGTTGATCACATTGTCATACTAACAGCCATGACTAGATCGATCACTGCCCTTGCCCCATTAACACTCACTTGACACAGCATCAGGTATTTTGCATGACTGAAGTCAGCAAATATTTCACAGGTGTTAACTCCAGGGAAAAAGAGTCTTGCTCACAGATTATCTAACCTCATGCTGGCCTGTAGACTTGGCATCTGGAAATCATCGTATCATGATTCTGTGCTATAATGTAAGCACTGAGTGAGACATAGTTCCTCCTGTTGTCTCCTCAGCTCTTTGGGTCCTATGTTAATAGGGAGAACAGCAAATTTTACATACAAAGACAGCTGTAAACCCATAGCTCTTTCTGCTAGAGAGGCCAACAGCCATCCAACGCTAATGCAGGTTACATAAACATGCTGCTCAGATGCAGTGCTGATTTAAATCAGGGTTGTGCAATATATGGCTCACAGCATAATCTAGCAGGCTGGTTGGCAGCTAATAAGTCAGTATGTGAAGTCTGACTAAGCTTGAGGAAGAGGAGGGTGTATAGTGAGGCCAGTACATGCCTGACGGTTAGGCAACTGACAACTGGAAAGTAAGTACACACCAAGCAGATGGCTTGGTCAGATGCTGGGAAGCGCTTCCTCGTCGGCAAGTTGGCCCTTGGTCCACAGTCACCGCCTTCTGGTTTGCGATGGAGGTCAAGCGTACGTGCTGCCGGAACACCAGCTCTGCCAGCACCCTGATGACCTACAGCCTTGCAGTGCAGACCTCTTCCCTCTCCCAGTCCCGGGATGGCCAGCAGAAGGTGAGAATGACAGGAAAGATACAGGGGAAAAGATGGGACAGGTATAGCCTGAAATAAGGGAGGCAGGAAATCATGCGGCAGCAGAGGAAGGTTCCCACACCAGCGTGAGTGGAAGGAAGAACCAGTGAAGCTGATCTGATCAACTGGAGTCTTTAATTATCTGTCAGATATTCAAGTTGAGCACCCTTGGCTTAGATTAACAACTGACCAGAGGCACAAAAAGAAAGAACAAGTTTTGGATCACAGTAAGTAAATAGTTCCAGAAGGTCTTAGAGACAGTATGTAAGTGAATTATTATAAGTAATAATTTTAAAACAGAGTCCTTGGTCAATTCCGTATAACCTAACCCAGCTTAGTGCAAGTGGTGCACCAGCTATTATAAGTGAAGCTACAGCATTGGAAAAAAGAAGTCCTAAAGAGGAGGAAAAATGCAGACCTCCTCACTTATCACCCCAAGCTGAGTGTCCAAGACTGAGGTACCCACTAGGAAAGGTCAGCAACAATCCTTAGCCTGACACAATATAAATACTGCATTCACACACACAAAACACAACCTCTTGGATAAAACATCTGTACTTTGGAGATTACTAGCCAGCTATTAAAATAAACAACAAAGAGGAGAAGTTACCAATATACGACTCAGCTATAGCCCATTTGAGACTGATGGTCCAGCACCAACTTTTCTTTGGCCAGCAGCATTTAAACATAGTAGCAACCAGTAGCAGTCGAACCGCTCCCTGACAGACCCAGATGCTCCTCCTTTCGTTGCTAAAACCCAGCGCTGCCTTCCGCTTGGCCAATATTAATCATTCCTAGGCCCTTGCCTCCAACTGCAATCTGTTCTGTCCTTTCTCACTGTGGACTGGAAAAGTTCTGGAAAAAGCAGTTTTCTTGCAGTAACCCATACTTTCCATGCAGATTTGCTGATGGCATTTTGTATAAGGATTCCACATGCACTGCAGTGTGCCAGTCTGTTCTGCAGGGAAGTATCAGAGAATACTAAAATAATAATGTTCTAGAGTGAATTAAGATCTACAGAAAAAATATTTTTAGGGATATGCTTAAAAGCATGATTGATGATCAGCAAATGAATAAGAAAAGGCCTTTATCCTGACTAATCCAAAAAACTGAGCTTTAACAGACAATACAGAGAGACAGAAGAATTGGCTGGATCTTTGTTTGTTTCCTTATGATCTATGACCTAAAAGGAAAACATTTATCCCACAAAATGTTCCCCTGGTATTCTTCACAGCAAAAAAAAAAAAAAAAACACCACAAAACAGATTTTGCTAAAGTTGGAAGATCACAATGACTCGAAACTTGCTCAACAGTGACACTAACAAATTTGATTCCCTTCAATTTCAGTAGCTAGTTGCGGTGGCAACACAGAGTTAGATTCATGAAAAACACTGTATTTTGTTTGTTTTGCTAATGCGTATCTAGCTTCAAGGACTAACAGCCATTTTGCATGACAGAAGTCCAAGATTTCATATAGCCTGTTGTGGAGAATAAGTGCCCTGATACAGCCTGCAAACTAATACCATACAGCCCACTGACCAGTGATACTTTGGGGGACATTATTTTAGGGTAATAGTAAGGTTTGGGTCAATGAATGACTCAGCCATGGTGGCCGTAAGGTTTATTCAGCTTTCAATCAAGAAAAAGTTCCGTGATCTAAATTTCAATGAGAATATGAGAGTTCACTGTGACCACCTCAAAGCCCTCCTCGAATCATCCATGAACAGTAAAGACCAGGCTCGACATTCCTCGCATTCTAGCCGGGAAAAAAAATCCCTCAATTCTTTGTGGAGAAAAATTATTTGGCCTTTAACTTGTTTATTTTTCAGATACTTAGTCTGCAGTGTGACCCACTGTCACATGCTTTTAGTTTTTTTCAAATATTAAAAAAGCTTAACTGTTCCTTACATATATGTCAACTACTTTTCTCTAATATTTTTCCATTTCTTTTTTTTTATATTATATATTCTGAATATATAACTTATTTTCCCATACACCATGGGAGTTCACAGTATACTGCAGTGATTACAGTAGCATTTTACAGTAGTCTAATAAATGTGCTTTCCTCTTAATGTTTTTGTAAAGCCTACAAAACATGAGCCAGTCTATTTTCAGAGCAACTTAAACATTGCTCCTATCCATTGCGCTGAAGATAGAAGCCTTCAAGTGGCTTTGTTTTTAAATTCTACTTCTGCTCTCTTTGTTGCTTTATGCTATACATAGAAGTTTTAAGAAAATCTGGGAGGGTAAAAAATCCTCCTAATTTCAGCACCTGCAACTCAGGGACATCCTGCCATTGGTGGTGGCAGGTGGTTTATAGGGAAGGAGGAACACCTTTGACCATCACATACTTCCAATGGTAAAAAAAACAACTGGGAAAAGCATGACGCTTCTGAAGAGAGCCAGCCACATGGCCAATATCTCCACTAGGAAAGGATGATGATAAAAATGTCTCCTTTTCTTTTTTCTTTAAAGAATCCTGCATTAAACAGGGACCATAACAATGCGAATTACCTGTTAACTAGCTCTTAAACAGCTGCCACCAGCTGTTTTCAGTGTAGTGGTGTTGGTCTGAGGTCATAGGCAGGACAGCGTCTGCTTTTACAACTTGCAGTCAGAAACGCATTTGTATACATCATTTGAACATATGTACAAAAGTGAGCTAATAAAGCTGAAAATATATTGCTGGCAATTTCTGAACAGAAGAATAGACTGAATTCAGATTATTATTTGCTATCAGTAGTCCACTGCACCATTATGCCTTGATGCTATTTCCTGTCTTCTCTTTCCACCAGTCACACCAGTTCAACACTTATTCTCCTTTGCCTCACACTCAGGAATGAAGCACTTAAAACCTCAGCTATTATACACATGGACACAAACATTGTAAACAAAAAAAAAGAGCAGGATGTCAACAAAAAAGGGTCAAAGCTGCCAACGGTTTTTCACCTATTGATTAAGTACTGGGAGAAAATTCACATTGCAGGATCATCACAGACAAATACTTGTGGTTCTAGTGCATTTTAGAATAGCTAAGTAAAGTTATTCCTGAAAAAAAATCCTTAAGAACGTTGAATTTATGGGCCAGAAACTTGTTTGTCTCACACAGTTAGTGAAGTGCTGAAGTTATATCTGCACTAGTTGATTATCTGGCTCTTTAACTGCATTTCACTTTGCTATTTAAATCTGCGCAATACTAGAAGTTATATCTATTACAGCCTTTATGTGTTACACATCTGAACTGAAATCAAGAAGTACGATTATCCATGGCTAGCTAAGATGACAACATGTGTAATGTTCTTTTAACTTCACTGTGGAAAACTCTATAAGGATATTTAACAGTAATTACTTTTAAGAAAAAGTAATCTGTAGCAAGTTGGCGCTAATATTCTCTGTCACCTCTACCATGTTGAATGTTCAAACTAAAGTTTTTCATTTCCTTGTGGAAAAACATTACTAAAGTAATGTGAACAAGACAGTATTTCTTGTAGTGACATATGCAAAAATCATTACTACATGTTCCATGTATTACTGGAAGAAGCCAGATGTTCTCACTTGCTTTGCTAATGGGATTTAACAAGACACATGGATGATCTGGGACATGGGAACGCTGAAAATTCTGAATAAAGTGAGCCGCACCATTTGGGAATAAGGACATATTCACCTAGGAAGGGATCCTTTTGCTATACTAAACCTTTTGCTTTGCCACAGTTCACTCAAGGAACGGGAATGATTTTTTTGCTCAGATTATATTGTAGGATTTTTGGCCCACAAGCAACTACACAGACAGCAAACAGGGACCACAAAAGCTCACAGACGGCATGATCCGTGGTCCAAGAAGCACATGGTTTAAATAAACAGAGTGCACTAAGAAGAGAGGTTGCTTCCATTCTTAACAATTTTTAATAAAGCTTTTACTGTAACACCTTATCTGGGCTTTTCATCAGTTTTCAGCATTCCGACATAATAAACTTTTCTGTCCGTGCCAGGAGAAATATTAAACAAAAAAAAAAAATCCCCTTATACTACCAGGTCCTGCCCGTATAGCAGAAACTGCAAGGTAGCTATTTTATCTTTGCGTTATTCCTGCTCTGTCTGGACACCTTGGAAGGCTCCTGCAGCCAAGGAGAAGTTCTGCTAGCCAGGGATTTGTGAGTTCACTACCAAAAGCCAGAGCCAAGCCAGAGGCATGGATGGCCTCCATCCCTCCCAGGTTCTTCAGCTCTGGTGAGGGCAAAGAAGCCCTGCAGCTTTTCCCTGGGAGAGGAGAACGAATAGAAACTTTTCTGGTACAGCAAGAGGTGTGGGGTACGGATATATGTGGACCCAGTTATTTTGGCTGTTTAACCCAAATATGTAACCCACTGGAATGCTTCTTCCCTGACACTTCCCCAAAAGTTTAATCTTACTTTTCTCTGTACTTCCCTCCTGCAAAACCTAAGGCCATTTGCTATTGCACTAGTGAAATGGCCTACAGGAATGAATGCCAACAGATGAACACTTGTTTATTCTATATACAGTGCTTGAATCTGAAGATTGTTTCCATAATCCTTTCTTGTAACAACATATGGGGAAAGCGCTCACAAAGGACTGCTTCTCTCCTTCCTTAATTACTCATCCCTTTGTTTGGAGGAGCAGATATGAAAGAAGGAAAAAATTATAAATGGAGTTTATGCCTAACATAGGAAAACATCATCAGTAAAGCATAGTGTTTACACAAATCAACAGGGGAAAACAAAAAAGTGTGCAAGTATTTACACACCCTGGTGGAAACCAATACAGACCAGTCCTCATTAAATTTAACCTTATAACAAGCCTATTAAACTGTCTTTCACAGAGTTTTATCACAATGGAAAGACTTCTCAATCTTCTCAATGTCTAGTAATCTTGCAATGGAATTTTGTGTATAGAGTTGTTTTCAGGTCACTAGCATGCTGAAAGGCAGCACAGACATATTATTATTTCTCCATTGTAAAATAGTCTCTTTCCCTATGCGCTGGATAATGTAAAAATTGTAAAGGTGATTTCATTTTATAACATAAAACATCCTTCTCTTTTCTGTTACAACTAAAAACACCTCAGCAGCGCTCATTACAAGTATATTGCCCTACACTCTAATTCAGCATGGCTCTTTGTCAACGCAAGCAATGAACTATTCCCACATCTGAAGATTTCTTAAACCTTTAAATGAAAGGTTCTGAAAACAAAATAAAAAACAACCCAAAGCCTCCATGATTTATACTTTAATTTCAGCTGTGAGGGACAAAGAAAAATCCTTTCAACAATTTAACTATTTTTCCTGCACAGAAAACCCACATTACATAGTTCATATCTAATAGTAGTTCTTATATGTCATTTGGCCATGAATTTCAAGCAGTTAAGAAGCAAGACTGAGTGACCAAAATGGTACTGTGCAGAAAGAAATAACAGATAATGGGACTTCCCTTTGATAAAAAGCTTACAATTTAGGTGGTTACTTCTGGACAAAAATTACACAGATTTTTTAAATCTAGTTTAAACTAGGTTTCATAAAAAAGGAAAAAAAAAAAAGCTTGCTTTAGATATATATACATTACTTTTGTGCCCCCTACTGTTACATCTTGCAAAGAGGATTTTTTTTTTTTGTCTGAGCAGACTACATTTACCTTTGTGTTAATAGTTATACTGCCCCATGTTCTTTTAAACGGCACATGAGTGACCTAAAGGTCCTTGGATTTGCTTCTTATATTGATTCACACAGTAAAAAATTATGATAAATTGGTCAAGGCTACAAGGAGATTTTTCCATATTAGATGAGTCCTGGAATTCTATCTATATATCATCTCCACTTTAATAATACGATGGCTAGTTTTTTTTTTTTTTGACCACAACTTTCTCTCTAGAAAACTCACCTCATCATCATCCATCACATGCTGCTTCGCAAATTCGTACATTTCCAACTGGAGTGTAGTTATGTTGTGGTATCGAACTGCATCCTATGAAAAAAACCCAAAATGTCTATGTTATTTTACGATAGCAAGACAGGGGAGTGCCATCATATGTATTTGAAACTATTCCAATGAAACCAGATCCAGACCCCGTAGAAGGCAGATGCTGGGGAGGGGGAGGTTTAAAACGTTTGAAAAAGGAAACAGCAGAACAGCAAGCCGCGTATCCAATGTCTTCTGTGAATCCCTCTAACCATAAGCACCACTGGTGTGAGAAGAACAAAGCACTCCCCTTTCTCATGTTTCAAAGCACTGGCTAGTCTGAGAATAAAGGAAAGAGACTGCCAGAGCTCAGCAACAGCCTGTGCCTACATTCCAGCGGGCTTTGGACGTGAGAAAGCCTCCGTCTCCCCATGTACTGCTGTACAGCAGCGGAGAGTTTCTGGGAAAAGCAGATGCTGAGCTTCTTTGCATGATACTGACTCCCTCCTCCAGCCTGAGTCTGGGTAGGATCATTCTGCACGGTCATTCACCTGTCCCTCCTCACTTCCTCAGGCTGTTTGCCTGGACAGCACAGTTTAACTCAGAGACAGCTACCCCTATATTTGTTAACACTGCCAATCCACTTTGCTTATCCCATTTAACTCTTTCGGGGGCAAAAAACAGGAGACTCTTCCTCTTTCACAAGGACACCCAAAGCTTAGGTCCCAGAGCCAAGTGCTGCTGTCACCCTTTCTACCACCTCATGAAATAAACCAGAGACATTATGTTTTTTGCGGCAGTTAGGACAGTAAACAACTTCTGTTCCCACTGAGATGGATCAAAGTATAAGAAAACACAGCTGTGTGCATTTAATATTTTATATTTAAAAATTAAATTATCTGTAGTCCCCAACTCCTGAGAAGTTATCAATGAAACATTCAGAGTTAATGTGTAGGGACCTTGTTCTGTCTTCTCTGCACACATATGCCAGCTCTGTTTGCGGTTTGCTGTTTCATTCTGTTGCTAAAACCCTCACTCCTAACAACATCAAACATCGTCTTCAGTATGGATACAGAGAGCGGGTCTAGTCTGAAGAGCAGTAACGTCCAAGCGGGCCCCTTCCCATGCAAGCTCAGACTCGCTGCTACTGCCTGAAAGTACCAAATGCATTTTCTCTGCATTGTCTCTGCCAGCAGAGCACAGACTTTGGTTTCCAGTGTGCAGATAAGGTGAGTCTTGCACATAACTCAGCAACTGTCCACTAACAAAATGCACTTAACTCAAATGGAGTGGTATTTTTGTCTTGAGCTAGCTGGCCTGAGAGGAAGGAAAGTGTAATCATCAAAAAAGTATTCTAACTTAGAGAACTAGGTGCAATATGGCTGTAATCCTTTTTTTGCATTTTCAGTCCTTGTTCACCCAGCTTTGTTCTAAATGGAGTAAGTAGAAAGTGGATTTAGCTGGGGTTATTATATCCAGACACATTGCAATGCCAACAGAACCTGAAATAACAAGTAGGTGGGCAACTACCTCTTGGCAAGTGACAAGTGATTGACATAAGCCCATCTGTGACTTGAGTGATCTTTCGATCAGGAGATTTCAGCGGCCAGCTATTTTATTAATCCAGGCAGATAATGACACAAATATACATAAGTGGCAGACAAGGACCACCGAGAACTTACTCATCATATTGTAGCATATATCAGCATAAAGGGAAGAACTATAACGACATTACACAGTACATTTCTGTGCACAACCTTCTATATGGTTTTAATAAAACAGTTGTTTTTAACTCCAGAACCTCTAGAGCTAAACTCCAATTTTTTACAGCTTATATAACTCACTGATTTCCAGGGAAATATCTGAACGTGCCCAGAAGGCATTTTGGATCATTCACCTACCGATCTGGGTTGAAAATCTTCTTCCTTGAGTCCCCATTTGTCTTTATGGTATTGATAATAGACCATGTTTTGTTTCATTACTTCATCTTTTTGGTCAAACAGAAGGTAACTAGCAGCACAAGAAGCTGCATTCTTCATGTCATTCACTAATGAATAAAAGCAGAAAACAAACAAAAATAAATAGGCAAGGTAAATGAACCAAAAGTACAGAATTCCTTTTATATCTAAGCTCAGAAAAACTCAGAGGGAAACAGGACCCATTTTCCACCTCCCCATCAGCTTCACTAAAATAAATAAATAAATAAATGCTTCCCAGAAAGAACATGCTATTTTTCTGTTTTAAACCATGAAAGGCCACAGATCCAAAACTGCTTACAAGTTCTGCAATATGTAACACAATGCAAGTTTATGGCTATAAGCATCAGGTCATGCACAAGAGCAATAGGGGAGTTTGGCTGCCCTAAGAACTATCTTCTTCCTCTTCGGCAAAATGGGTATAACTTACCTTCAACACTGACAGTAATTTAGTAAATCACCATGTTTCCATGATGGTTTTCTAAGAAAATCCTAACCAAAAGTCCCACCCAAGTATCCCAGTATCAGTAAAGTGCTGACCCACAGCTTGGTGACTCCCATTGTGGCATTTCTTCCAGA